TGAAAACTGTCAGACAACTGTAAAAAAATCGTTAACCAAAATATTGGTATCTGAAAGCCCATTAAATTAGAAAGTCTTTTTTTTTTTAACATTTTATTTTAAAAAAAAAACAACTACTATGAGCTAAAGATCTAAACAGAGAGTTCTCAAAAGAAGAAATAAAGATGGGGTAGAAACATCTTAAAGACTGATCAACACTGTTAGTAATTACGGAAATACAAATTAAAACTTTACATCTAAGGTATCACCTTACCCCAATCCGACTGGCTAGGATCAAGACAACAAATGATACCAAATGCTGGTGAGGATGTTGAGAAAGGGGAACTCTCATTCACTGCTGGTGGGATTCCACACTCAGGCAACCTCTATGGAAAACAGTGTGGAGAACTCTTGGAAAACTAAAAATGATGAACCTACCATTGGACCCAGTTATACCACTCCTTGGCATATACCTGAATTCATCCTATTGTAGAGATACCTACACAACCATGTTAGTTGCTGCTATTTTCACAAAAGCTAAGAAATGGAAGCAACCTAATTGCCCCTCCACTGACAGGTGGTTAATGAAAATGTGGTACATTTATACAGCAGAGTTTTATTCAGCAGTAAAGAAAGAGGAAATAATGAAATGTGCAGGTAAATGAATGGATCTAGAAACTGTTATACCTAGTGAAGGAACACAGACTCGGAGAAACAAAAGACCTCCCTCATCTGTGGATCCTAGCACCAAGTCCCTCTAAGTGAGTGCATATTCTGCTGTAACTGCAGGGACCAGGAATATGGAAAGAAACAGGCAGGCCAACGGGAAGAAGGAACCCAAGAGAGAAGAACATTAGGATAAAGGTGATAGTAACAGAGAAATATGTAAAAAGGTGGTAGTTAATGGAGGAGGAGAAAGCTATACAAAGAACTATGGGTATAAAGGGCTAAAAGTTCTCCAGAAACACAGTCAAAAAAAGAGGTGTAAGCACAGAACGAACTCTATGGGGATGAAAGAAAGCCCTTCCAGAAGCAATATGATTGTTAATGAAAATCCCAGCGCCCCTCTGCCCATGGTTACCAGACTCCTACATTTTATATCCAGAAGCCATATACATAGAAACAAATATATATGGATTTTAAAACTTTGAAAAGTGAGGGGAGAAAAAAGCCTCCTCACTTTACTTCATTTTTTGGGTATTTTATCACAGCAGAGGAATTTCACTCCCACATTAACCTCTGTGAATTTATCTGTGGTCATTGTTTCCTTACATGTCAGAAGGTACACAAACATGCAAGCACTCCTATATGTTCTCTTAGTCCTAAACTTTACCAGAGTCTCACATTTACACCTTTCTTTTATTGCATAAGAAAAGACAAACCTAAGTGTTCAGTTGTCCAACAAAGTGTGTGGGGTAGAAGAAAAGAAAAATGGTGACTATTTTTAAATACATCAATGCTCATAAATTAGGAATACAATAGCAATGACATATATACTTCATTATATTTATCATAATGTCTCAAATACATCATTCAATCTCTAATATAGAGATCATGAAAATTATTTCGGGGTAAGCCCCCACAGAACAGATCCCTGGGAAAATGCAATGTTCAGATTTATCAGATTATCCTTGTTTAGCCTTCACCTATCATCAGCTGAAATAGGATGTGAGAATTTCAATTTCAAGGGCAGAGAATACTTTTTCAGACAGGTTATATGTTATGATGTTAAACATATGCTTTATTTGTTAAAACATCTACTTATATGCAGCTTTAAAATTTTTATAAAATGAACTCAATGTATTCTAGTCAAAATGCACATGAAAAGAATTAAGGAAACAGGATTTTTAAAATAAATAGACAAGTTGGATGTCATTATAACCATTTCCAAATTCCAAAGAGAAAATTTTAAGAAATTCATGGAGTAGCACAGATAGTTATACCTTTTAAAGATAATTGTTCACATCTCTTTGTCTTCATTCAATTTTCACACAGAAATTGTATTAACAAAATTCAACAATAAACAATATCATACATCTCATTAGTGATCAACTGAAAGTATGGTTCATTTCAAATAGTCAGGATTGGCTGTTTTGACTTAGCAAGAAGCACTCCTACTTTACACTGAAGTGCATTCTTAGTGCTACTCAGTAAAAAAGCAAATCAACCATTTGACTTCATTCATGAATTTTGCCTGAGGCTTTAATTATAATAGCATAACTAATATTAATGATGCCTTGATGATATACTGTGGGCTCATCAGCTCTCATGCAGCAACTATTGAAACAAACTGTCAAATAATCCTTTCAAAGCAAGACAGACTGAATTAATTTCCATACTAAACTACAAATACTGTACAGTCTTCAGAAAGCTACAGTACTGGGAATATTACTGAGTTTCCTGCAGGTATGATTCTATCTATCTATCTATATATAAAAATACATTTGTGTGTAAATATATTAATTTATAATATCTAAAGATAAAATAATAAGGTAAAAGTGAAGGAATATTAAGAAGTTACTTATAGTCTTAATTTGCATTCATAGAATGTTTATTGGATGATAGTATACAAGGCATCAGGAAGAAAGCATTGC